GGGGGGGGGGGTGGTGGGGTGGTGGCGGGACTGTTTGTGTGTTCCAGTAAGGTCCAAACAAGTAGATAACCACCGGGCCGAGGGCCCTCCCCCTGCCCCCCACATGGTCTGTTCCTCTCACTTGCCCAAGGACACACTTGTGGTTAATGAGTCTCAGAAAAGTGAAGTGAAAGTTAGAATGAAAAGCTACACCTACTACACGATGGGGATTGGGTGATGGTCCCCGCTGAGAAGACCCCACCACCACCACCAAACCTGGAGGGAGGAGCGCCAGGGACACAGCTCCGCTTCTCTTCTGGGGACTCTGCACAGCGCTGCAGGGACCTTCCCCTGTGGATGTGCCATCCTCCTCGCACTTGCTGACCCCACGTGGCCCTTCCTGTCCTGATCACTCCTGATCTGGAGGTGGGGCCTGGACAGGGTGGAGCCTCTGGGGAAAGAAAAGGGGCCCCAGGACGCCTGGGTCCACACAGGCTCCCCAGAGATGCCTCCTCCACTGCCACCACGACTGCTGCTGTCCCTGCTGTTGCTCCTGCCGCTGCTGAGCGCCCAGCTGGTCCGGTATGGGGACCCCTCCCGCCACCCCCACCCTGGGATGGCTCCACCTCTGGCCTTTGTAGCCTGGGGCTCCCCAGCTCAGTGACTCCCAACCCAGCGCCCCAGAGTCCCGACTTCTCTTTCTCGGGTCCTGGGGTCTCTAAACCAGGCTCCCCCTGGCCAGAGGCTCCCCTGGGTATCTAAGACCCACGCCCTTTTCAGTCCAAGATCCCTGTGGTCAGACTCAATTGAGAACCTCCTCTCCCCTCAGGACAGGTTTTGGGGAGCCCCAGTGGGTCCCACCCAGCTCTGCTATCTGGAACTGGGTCTCCAGCCCTGTGGTACCTGACATTCCCCTGAGCCACCATTCTGCACCCTCCCGCCTGCTTCAGGCTCAGCGAGTGCAGTGTGGGCCCAGCCGTGGCCATGGCCGTGGCCGGGTACACGGGGCACCGCTGTTGGGAGGCTGAGGCCACAGAGGAGGCCAGGCTTCGGTTCTCTGTGCACCCTGAAAGCCACGCGGGAGGCCCTATGGTCCCAGCTACCTGGGAGGCTGAGGCAGGGGGATTATGATAGAGGCTCTGTCTAAAAGCAAAATCAAAATCAAAACCAAAGAGCACAAAAATTCGAAGTCCAGATTTGGAGTCCTCACCCAACGGGCACTGTCCCCACCTTCCTCTGAAGACTCCCCTAGTCTCTCACTTCCTCTCCTCTCATTTCCTGGAACTCCTGTGTTTTAAAAAAAAGTTTGGCAGGTGATGTGGTGGTTAGGGTGCTGGACTCCCACGTGGATGGCTGTGGTTCAAGTCCTGGACCTGGCAACTTGCTTTCTCACTTTACCTTTCTCTCTCTCTGGTCAAATTTAAAATTAATAATAAAGAGAAATGGAATTAAATAAATAAATAAATAAACATTAACAAACAAACAAAAACATTTGCCAGAGAGTGTGTATGGTGTAATGGCTATATCGCTGGACTCGCATGTAGTTAACCAGGATTCGAGTCCCAGACCCAGTGGCGTGTGTGTGCGTGCCCAAGATCCCGAGGAGAACGAAGGAGAAGGGACTGCGGTGTGGCCATCCCCCCGGGGGGTTATTTCTTGCTTTCTGTCTCTCTGTCTTTCTGGTGAATGCATGCGCCCTAGAGCAAAAACCTCTCAAAAAAAAAAAAAAAAAAAAGAAAAGAAAATATCGTAGGTTGAAGATGCATGTGGATTGGGACCAGCAGTTAGGGTAATGGCTA